ACCCCATCAAAGGGACGATGGATGGGGCAATGTACCATCAAATCTTGGGTGAGAACCTTCTTCCCTCAGCCAGGGCATTGAAAATGGGTCGTGGATGGGTGTTCCAGCATGTCAATGACCCAAAACACACAGCCAAGGCAACAAAAGAGTGGCTCGAGAAGAAGCACATTCAGGTCCTGGAGTGGCCTAGCCAGTCTCCAGACCTTAATCCGAATTGAAAATTTGTGTAGGGAGCTGAAAGTTCAAGTTGCCAAACATCAGCCAACAAACCTTAATGACTTGGAGAGGATCTGCCAAGAGCAGTGGGCCAAAATCCCTCCTGAGATGTGTGCAAACCTGGTGGCCAACTACAGGAAATATCCATTTAAAGTATATTTACAGTGGTCTAAATATACTGGTTCAAGTGTGATGCCTGTGTGAAGAGGTCAGTAAAGTTGGAAAACCCACAATTATATCAGAAACCAGCAGGGGGCAAATCCAATAGTGAAATATCCATTTTGATTACAGGATGATTACAGTAATTGTGAGTAACAGTATGTGGCATATTCAACTATGCATTTGGGGACTAAAACTGGTACTTTTTAAGCTTGGAAGCAATTGCTAACTCTAGAGAAATGCAAGCAGCTGTTACCTTCTGTGCCACATCCACTGTTGAGTACGTCAGGAGAGTGCTAAGGTAACTGGTGATAGAAGAAAGGAAGGGAGGGATGTCTTTGGTCCTAGTGAGCCTCCCCTGGCAAACTTTATGCTTTACAATGCTTTTTTACTCTACCAATAAGAGCACAGATGTTGCTGGATGTTATGACAACAGACGTATTTGATAAATGGGGCCCATTTTAGCTCTCAGCATGCTGTAATTGGATGCAGAAAGCAGGGTGTGCTGGGTTACTAGAACTAACTCCAAAAGCAAAAAATGTTCCAGCACCTTTGTAAAGTTCATTGTAGAGTGTATCCGTCTGCCCTGATTCCTAAACCATCCAAAGCACACATGTCCAGCCTGTGACAGCTGCTGGACATCAATCAATGGTGTTCGGGGACAGCTGTAGCTTGGATCTATGCTGCAGCCATCTAGGCGAGTATGTTTTTTTTATATCTCACATTTCTCTTTTCAGAGATCTACTCTGAAATGCATTGTCTTCTTTTTGGACTTGGGGCATGTTGCCTAGCTTACAAATATTCCAATGAAAACTCAAGAGATTCTGTCAAATGGATCCCAACCCTCAAAGCAAATGATGACCAACTGCCAATAGCAATAGGTGTCTAACACTAATCTTCAGTTCTTTTAAAATTAGAACAGAATAGGCAGCTCACAGAGTAGAAAAGGACAGTCATATGAGAAACCTTGAATTACATCCTCTTCAAATCCCTTTTATCCCCTCTCCTTTTTATCCCTCACGTTTCCCAAAAGTTTTATGCATAAGCTGTTGGTTAAAAAAAAAATGTTCAAATATTTTGCACCTGGAATGAAAAGCAGAGGATAAAAAAAATCTTTGGTTACACAGTGATGTATACCCATCTACTTAACTAAAAGTTCCCTTCAACAGTTGTGGCTGCTGATGGTGAAATCCTGCTTCCCGAGTTCCGAATAAAGATAAATCTGTGGATGACTTTACTTGCTGACACCAATGCAAAACAGAAAAAAAAGGAACCTAAAACGCAATTGTTTACAGGAAAGTAGTAGTGAAGTCTTGTGCTGTTCTCTACTGGTAGAAGCAGAAAAGTAAATCACTTAAAACAAGACCTGAGCTGTCCACGGTGTGTGCAATTGTAATCTACACAGATGGGCAAGGTATCACATAACTCTATATTAAAGGTAGCCTGACAAGAGAACCATAAGAGGGACCAGCCATTGCTGGCTTGTTTTTAAAGGTGCAAGTGTCTGGATCTTTAAAGTAGTCATTCATTCACTACTTGGTCCCTGACACAGAACAAGTACGCCAACAGACTTCACTGTCTGCATGCTTGTAGCTAACTCCCCTACGTCTCTCTACCTTTTCAAAACATCCCTTGCTCCCCAAGGATGAATTAACAAAAAACCCATATACATACATTTTTCGAGCATTTGTCAGCCAAGTCCAGTGACATTAGGTTTCCCTTCTTCTTCCAAGGTGGCAACAGTGGGTGTTACCCAACATGCGAGCATTGCTCTGTCCAGCAGTACTGTCAGTCCATGCTGTGCTATGATGTGCCCCCAGGGGGTGTGTGAAATTTGGATTCCTTCACTAGAGTGGCAGTGGTGGGTGGTACTCAATGACGTGTGAGCACTGCTGTACTGCAAGTCCATGCTACTTTATGACGTGCCCCCAACGGAATGTCGATGACAGCCAGGGAGTGAGATGTGCATCATGGAAGAGGAGTGGCGAGTCTGCAGAGGACAGTACTGATGAAGGGGACGACGACAGACCTTCTCTCTGAAACATGTTTCCCATGACTCCTTGCAGATTGCAAATGAGCAAGAGGTGATTTGGATGTTTACCTGGTGTGGAGGTGCTCATTCCAGTTACATCATCGGCAGTTCTCTCAGTACTTGTGGTGACCGGTGCTTCCACAGCGGCTTCAGCCTGATGACTTGAGGTCCAGCTCTGGGACTGTCTCCACCTAGTTACATGCTGATCTTTTCACTTAGACTTGCATTACTTATTGTTTTTATTTGTGCTACACCAAACAAAGCTTACTACACTAGGAGGCTGCTATTTTTATTCAACAGCTTTTGGGCATTGCACTTTTTAAATAAAAGCCAGTACTGGCGTTAAGATTTTAGTCCCAAAAAATTACCCGATCATACTGCAGATTATATGCGATTATTGTTATGCTACATATAGATTCAAACACAACTTAATAAATAAAATAACTTTACTATAAAACAATAGCTAAAACAGTTTTTCAACTTTAAACTTTTGAAATCTGTCAGCATTCTTCAAGGATTCTAACAAAACATGCGAATATAAAATACACTAAATATTTACAGGACCCAGTAAGCCCTGGTTCACACTGGATACAACGTTGAGATCGTTAGACTTCAAATGAAGTCGCACGATTTCAGTCAGATGGCAGTGCAACTTCATAGACATTTGTGAGACTTCATGCACGTTGCACCTCAAATCAGCAAAAGTGGTGCAGGAACTACTTTTTGTAATCGGTGTGACTCCGATGAAGTTGGTTCTATTGCCGATCATTTGATGCGATTTGTCAAGTGATTTGAACAGTCAAATTGCATGACAATTTGCAACAGTGTGAACCAGGGCTCAGAAAAGTACAGAACAAAACATTGATATACAAAATTTCAGTTATATTAACAGGTGGATACAAAAACAGAAACATTCCTAAACAGAGACATGCATGACAAAGCTGAGAGCCTCCGCTGTAAGACTGAATATTGCAGTAGGGTGGAGTACACCCTACTACTACCTAAGTAGATGGACAAACTGAAGCTTCTGTAGGCCAGCATATGCATAGCTTCAGGAACAATCCCCAGGTGTCATTATTAGCAGGTAAGTCAGGGTGTCTAGTACTGCAATATGCAGGGCGCAGGAACACCTACTCTTCACAGCAGGGGGAAGAACATGCTGAGCTGTAATCTTTGTCACATACATCTGTTTATATCTTAGCACTGCCATCATTTTGCAGTAAAGCTCAACCAATTGAACTTTCAGTTTAAATTGACTAAATGAATTCCAGGTGCATAAAAAGAGAAAGTGTACAAAGTCTATCAGTTTGTTTTCTTTAAAAATCAACCACAGTCTGTCCAGAACAACCTGTCTCCTGTCAGCATACTGCAGTTGACTCAGTGGTGAGTGTGTTAGATCTCTAAGGAGAGACCACTGCTTCCCTACAGAAAGTAAAGGTCCTTCTCTAGAGCTGCTGGCAGAGGACAGACTTTTCTACTCTGGCTGTGGCTGCTTTAGAAAAAAAAAAACTGTGAGACACTGAGCACATTGTGTTTTAATGCACCTGGAATGTATTTAGTCAATTTAAACTGAAAGTTCTATTGAGCTTTAAGAAACTGACCACTGAAATTTGAGGCCTATGGTTGCTCAGGAAATACTGGCACCATCCTGGCCTGCAAACAGTGGTAAAGCTTGCTGAAAATGGAAGCTCCTCAACTGCTGGCTGCCCACACCTACATAACATGTGGGGCCAATGTATTGCACAACACAAGTAAAACTGTCACAAATGTAGGCAATTCAAACTGAGCATTTTTTTTTTTTTTGTATGATATTCTCAACCATTACTTCCACTGAAAAAGGCATGTGTAACTAACATGTGGATCCAGAGGTGGAAAGCTGAAGGAATAGAAAAGCCTCAGCCTTTCCTGTAAAAGTTCAGTTTGGTCCGGTCTTACCCATCAAGCTACCCTATTAGTCTGTTACCAAAATAACTTATAACTAAATAGAACAAAAAGAGGCACTGTATTACATATCTTTACTGACCAACAAGAGGCAGAAAGGTGACAAGCTTACACTGACCATAGATCTATCTGGCTCAGCAGAGACCAGGATGAATTTCGATCCATCTGTGGTCATTTCCACATGAAAGAAGTCTCTATAATGATCAACTTCCATCAAACAGGATTGTTGGAAAACTTTTATTCAATCAGGGGCTTCAGCCAATCAGCTGCATTGCTGATCAGTGTATTCTGATAGGGGAGCAGTCCCTACTGTCAAAATACAATGTCCCAGGGTGGAGGATTACTCCATCCACCTGGTTTGTGTGGATGGGGGAATCTGTTTTTTTTTTTTGGATCATCTATAATAGCCAGCTTTAGTCTTTCCTGAAAAGAAATTAAGTTTTGTATACAACTTTAACTGCTTGTATCCCTGAAGCCAATGATTGCTTTTATTTTTTTTTTTAACAAGATTTCGCTGAAGGTAACCTCTGCTCGTGCCTTTTTCAGCCTATGCTCATTTTGAAATGCCTGGGCTTGTGACAAACAGCATCAAAATGAACTGCAGTCTTCTCCCTGCATTTAGTTAGGGTTTTCAGGCAGCATGATGAAGAATTTAATCTTCTGTTTCTTCATCTTGCTGGCTTCTTGGCAAAAAAGGCAATGTGGTTTGTCCTCGTTCAGGATCTTGCATTCGAAGAATTCGGATGAGATTGCTGGATGGGAGGGAGCTGCAAATTAAAAAAAAAACAAAAAACGAACATTAGAATGTGCATTCGTGCGCTCTGGTTATTATTTATATAGCTCAGGGGCAGTACAGTGGCTTAGTGGTTAGAACGTCACTTTGCATGCAGGGTCACTGGTTTTTATCTATATAGAGTTTGCATATTGTTCCCTTTGCTTGTGCGGGTTTCCTCCTACACTCCAAAGACATGCTGGTAGATAAATTGGATCCTGTTGAAAATGGTCCTAGAATGTGTATGTATGAATGTGAGATAGGGAACATAGATTGTAAGCTACTTGAGGGCAGGGACTGATGTGAAAGTACAATATACATAAAGCACTGCGTAAATGATCAGCGCAATATAGATACCAGTAACAAAAGAAAAAAAATAATTAAGACAATTCCAGCCAGAAAAGCTAGGTACCTAGATCAGATTCACATATAAGAACTGTTTTACTTACCTACAACACTGACCAGGAATTGTACATATTGTTGTACTATGCTTGCAAAGCAGGAGTGTGTCAATATTTTTCAGAGACTGTAATTTTGTATATTCTCCACCACTGCCCCATTTCTCCATTTATATTCTGTAACATCACTCTACCTCCTTTTTTTTCCTCTAGAGAACATTTTCACACTGGTTCCACCCACCACCAACTCTCTCCCTTTAATACATGAGCTTGCCAAGTAGTAATTCCTAGTGTTTATGTGAACAATTAAGGAAAACCTTTCTAGAAGAATTATGGAGGTGCCATTATTATCCTTCTGAAATGCTAATTGCCTGACTATTGTACAGCCTCTTTGCCTTCAATACCTTGGAAGACACCCAGAACAAGTTGGCAGTTCAGGAAAGTCAAAAGTCTAATCTAAAAACTTGTTCTAGACATCCAGGTAATAAGTAATTGCAGAATGAAATGGTAGCAATGACAGGCTGTATACTTTTTTTAGTAATTAAACTAATTTTCTTATATCTGTCTAGAGTTTGGCTATATTAAAAAAAAATAGATCAAACACTTTTTCCATGTGCCCTACTTCTCCAGAATACAGTACTTGGGGCATGAGCAGCCAAAGGCAGCCAGGCACAAGGGAGCAAGGGACTGAGTGACATTGCGGCCAGGCAATGGCACTATGCCCATTTTAGATGAACATTGGGCTTTTTCTATAACTCTTAAAAGAGAGCTGAAAAGAACCATTCATGGATGCACATTTCTAAGCATCTGAATCTCCAATTTTAGGCTATTATAGTGTATCATTATATCTTATGGATACGTTTTGGGTCTTTAGCAGAAATATCCTATGTGTCCAAAAAAAAAAAAGAAAGAAAAATAGAGTCATTTGTCAGGCTGTAAGGCCCCCCAGCTGTTCTACAGTATTGTCTTGTCAGAGTTCAGGGCTGATCCCGGACCTACTCTCAAAGCTTTCAGAGGAAGGGAACATTATTGAAGGCTTTAGCACTGAACTCAAAAGATAGGACGGCTAACCAAGCTTAATCTCTCCTGGTTCTACATCTCTTCTGGACCCTACCTGTTCCTATTCTCTACAAATATTTATGCTCTCTGAACACCCTTATAAAACCTTTTCTGTGGAACTGCAAGAGAGCTAAGAGTGCACACTTTCAACTCATTAATCACAAGAAATTCAGAGGCAAGGGGCCTACTGATATTTGTGTTTACTTCAACCTCATTCCACCTGGACCAGCTTCAACATTTACTTTGAATTGATATTGAACAATCCCTTGTCCCTGGGGAAAAAAAACCTAGATCATTGCCAGCTAGCCGATTTCTGGCAACCTCTATCTTCTTAACATCCTTCACGTGTTTGCTCCATACCCTTGCAATTGTCTATATTAAAAGTGTTTATACCTCCCTATTGAATGCTGGATCTGCAGGCACAGCTCTATGGTTTCCGATTTGTAGGATGGAACCACCTTAAAAAGCTATGATACACTTATGATAGAATTTGGCCCTTTAAACACAGATATTTTTTTTTTCAGCTACATGTGCCTGGCACATACATTACACAACCTCCCAGATTCCATAAAGATTATCCCTTCTAAAGTTCAGCAATTCTACACAAACTGTCACACAAACTAAGTAGGGGGTTTCTCTATTCTATAACATCTTGCAAGATAACACATATTTCTATAAGTCCCTACCTTTTCTCTGTTGGGAAACTGACCTATCTACCCATCTCACCTTGAAATGATACCCAACAACCTTTAGATTTGTCAAAATTGTATCCCTCGTGGTCTTCTCAATGTGGTTTCACAGGAACATTGCTGCATATCTTATGGTATTGTGAACATCTGCATAATTTCTGGAGGAAAATCTTCCAAATCATAGCAGACATTATTGGAATAATAGTTGCTTCGTCCCCAGCTCTAGCAATTCTAAACTTTTTGTAATAGATGGCTATTCCTCCTGTTTTGGTTTCACACAGGTGCACAGTCTGTCCATTTTTCCTCCAACTCTTGGCAAATGGAAAACGGACAACAGTTCATTTCTATGGACATATGTAAACGGATGACATCCCATTTACATCCACATTCATTTGGTTACATTTTTTAAACTGAAAAGCCAACGCCCAGATCCACTGAAATGGAATGAATGTAAACAGATGCTGTCTGTTTACATTTGTTCTGTTTATGTCTGTTTTTAGGCAAGAAACATTTGTTTTTTTTATACAATCGTTACCTCTGGATTCTTTTTTTTTTTTTGCTGCGAAAACCAAATTTATGCAGAAACGGATGTGGACTAATGTAAACTGAAGTTTTTCTTCCCGCCAAAACGCTGCAGATCCTGGACACGCTGGCAATGTGTTTTTTTTCCTCCCTCTAAATGCCTAGGTGTGCATGGACTAAGACTCAGGCTAACACTGAGGGGTGTTTTAAAGGCAAAAATTTAAAAAAAGGGAAAAAAAAAAAAAACAGACGCCCCTAAAAGCAACGTTTTTAATGCTCAGTGTGCATGAGGACTAAAGAAAGCCTTGTAACAGCCTCACAATAGTTTTGCTCTATGGTCTTTAACCACCTTCCGCCCGCCCTATAGTACAATGACGGGTGCAAGGTGGTTCTCTCGTTCTGATAGGACGTCATATGACATCCTACCATTCTCACTGTGCATGCGCGGCTCTGGGAGCGCGCAGCACTGCGATCGCCGGTGCGCTGTGTCCCTCGGACACAGCGAATCATGGAAAGAGCCAAAGATGTCGGCTTGGTCATGTGATCAGCTGTGTCAAATCACAGCTGATCACATGTAAACATGTAAATGCCGGTTATCGGCATTTCTCTCCTCTCGGGCTGTCACGCTGACAGCTCAAAAGGAGAGGAGAGCCGGTAATCGGCTTTCCGCGGAGGGGACATGTACACTGATCATCAGTGCACTGATGATCAGTGTGCCCTGATGATCAGTGTGGCCCCAGAAGTGCCACCTGCCAGTGCCCATCAGTGCCACATCAATGCCACATAGTGCATATCAGTGCACTTCAATGCCACATATCAGTGCCCATCTGAGCTGCCTTTCAATGTCACCCATCAGTGCCAGTCAGTGCCACCTATCAATGCCAATCAGTGCCACCTATCAGTGCCAGTCAGTGTTGCCTATCAGTGCACACCAGTGCCAGTCAGTTCCGCCTATCAGTGCCAGTCAGTGCTGCCTATCAGTGCCATGTATCGTTTCATGTAGCAGTGCTGCCTTTCAGTGCCCATCAGTGATGCCTGTCAATGCCCATCAGTGCAACCTACCAGTGCCTCCTCATCAGTGCCACCTATCAGTGTCCATCAGAGCAGCCTATCAGTGCCCATCACTACAGCCTCATTAGCGCACATCAGTGAAGGGGGAAAATCACTTATTTACAAAATTGTATAACAAAAACCAAAAAAAAAAAATGTTTTTTTTTTCAAAATGTTTAGTGTTTTTTGGTTTAAGAAAAAATAAAAATCCCAGAGGTGATTAAATACCACCAAAATAAAGCTCCATCTGTCACAAAAAAATGATAAAAATTTCATATGGGTACAGTGTTGCATGACCACGGAATTGTCATTCAAAGTGTGACAGTGCTGAAAGCTGAAATTGGCCTGGGCAGGAAGGGGGTATAAGTGCCCTGCAGGCTAGTGGTTAAAGAAAAAAAATAGGATAGACAGAATGCAAAGCAGATAAAGGCTAGCAAGAAAATCCAAAGCCCTATACAACATGTTTTTACTTAAAAAGGGAGTGCAGCCCTGGCTTAGCTTCTCCATGTAGCAAGAAAGAGACAAGAGAATTCCTGTTCTCTACCAGCTGCTACTCAGCAGCACATAAAAATGGGTCATGTCAAGAATAATTAAGAAACTACACAAAAAATTAAGAACTGCACTTCCCTGGAGAACAGAGCTCTGGATTACTTACCTAGGGATACTCAATAAAACTGTGATTAATTATGTTATTCTCCGAGTTAAGAAAAAATTTACCATGAAATGTATAGTAGTGAACTGCAGTGTCTACATTACACAACAGAGCCATTTCAAAAGTTATGAGCCAAAAAGAACACTAGCAACTGAAGGGCAAGTAGATGGTAATGGACAAATTACCTATACTGCCTACAGACTGGCTGTAGCTTTGTACCTTTACTCGTTTTTCATGCCTTGTTCAGTACTGTGTGGAGAAATCTATCTTAGTAGAGGCAGAGCTTTGCTTTCTCATGTCAAAGCTGTTCACCGGATGACTGCTGATGTACTTGCTACTTGGGGAATGTCCAAGAAGCAACAGGAGAGATTCAGAAATCACATAGCCACAAAATTATGTTTCAGAGAAATCATTGCTCTGCAAGTCCTCAGGTAGAGCCACTCCTAAATGATTCAACTCAGACAGTCAAACACAACTCAGACTCAAATACCTTTGAAACTTTTGAGTACAGTATGCTACCTGGTTGTCACGTGGAACTTTTGATTTCAATACTTTCCGAGTCGCAGATAAGGGAGTAGCAGGCAACAATCCAGTACAGCAAAGTTCAGGGGCACAGGACAGCAATTCAGGGACTTGCCAGCCAACAGTGGCCTCAGCAGACGTTATCCAGGCAAAGTGACAAGGAAAAGGAGGTCTGGAGGGTAGTTGTCCTTCCCACTGTGGGTCCTTGGAGGACTGTGTGTCCAGGCCTTCAGGGCTACATGGGCAGCAGTTGAAGGAAGAGCAAAGGGGAGTAGTAGTCCCAGTGTCCAGGAAGCTGCACAGCTAATGCAGAACTACAAATCCCAGTAGTGTAGAGAGCAAAGCACAGTCGATATGGAACTATCAGCCTCAGCAATTCCATACATCTTCTAGCCTCCTAGTGAGACCTACAGCCATCAGCACCTCTGTCCATCATAGGAGTAAACTCTGAACATTCTGACCCTTTCTGCCAGCATAGGGATATTATGTTGTCCTTTGAATTTAGCTAAGCCTTAAGCATCCAAACCTGGTGATGGCAATTCAGGCTTTTTCCAGCTACAGGACAATGCTGTCTGTACTTCCTACTGAGATTAAGCTGATCTCCTACTCCCCCCCCCCCCCCCCAGTGGGGCACAGGAACTCAGATTATTTAAGCAGACAAACAGACTGCTTTACACACTATCGATTTCAACAAAACAACACACAAAAACATAATATTTCTGTTCTCCGCTACACCTGTATTATAATAATAATAAAACAAATAATAAATCAGCCAATGTTGGTCGTGAATATTCACCTGCTGAAATTCTCCTTAAAGTGGCAAGTCGGGCGTCTGATGTGGAAAAACCGCACTGCACTTGTCATAATTAACCTTAAAGAATAAGTTCACCTTTCATAACATGTTACATCCATATTCAGGGTGTAGCATGTTATGAATCCACCGGCCCCTGCTCCCCCATTTTGACAGCTAGCAGGGCATCTTCTATCCCCCTCGCTAGCTGTCAAAACTTAAAAAATAAAAAAAAAGGTGGCTGTGCAGGGCTCCACCCGCCTGCCCGACTCATTCACAGTGTTCGTTCCTTAGTGCCTGTTGGCTTGTAGTCCTCAATGAACTACCACGGTGAATCCCTCACAGAATATATGGATCCTGGGGCTTTTGGTGTAGATCAGGAGAATGCCAGAGTTCCCTTTAAGGGATGGATGGGTGCAGCTCACCAGGTATACAGGAAGCTCCCTCTCTGGAGACTGGATGCTGGGTTGTCTGAAAATTAATTTGTAAGGAAAGGCTACAATACAGCCTGTGCACACCAACACTACATCGACGCCAAGACTGCACGTCCTCCTTATCTCGCCAGCTGCTTCTGGGAGTCTGGGAAGGCTCATCGTCTGGAGGGTGTCGATGTAGTGTTGGTGGGCACAGGCTGTACTGTAGCCTTTCCTTACAAATTAATTTTCAGACAACCCAGCATCCAGTCTCCAGAGAGGGAGCTTCCTGTATACCTGGTGAGCTGCACCCATCCATCCCTTAAAGGGGACTCTGGCATTCTCCTGATCTACACCAAAAGCCCCAGGATCCATATATTCTGTGAGAGATTCATCCCCATTCCTGCCCCAATTCAGATGACCTTGATGACATCAGGATATATTATATAAAGGCGCATTTTATTATGCGCTCCGGTGAGTGCGCATTTCTTCCATACCTGATTGCACAAGCACCGAATTATAGAGAACGCAGGATTCCTAGGAGCACTTTAGTCACCTTATGAACGTTTACAATTTATTTATCATGATGCTTTTTATATTAATCTTTTTATTGTAATTTATTGGTGCATAGCAGCTGATTGTTTTTATGTGCGCTCGCATATATTTATTATATCTGCTTGCTTGTACATCCCATATAGGCAAGCACATATACTGACAGATCTGCAGGAGACCTGCATGGCACCAGTGAACTGCTTATCGCTGCTGTAATGCTTTACAGGCTCCTGCAGCCAAAAATAAAAAATGCACATTTTTTACCTGCAAAAAAGTGCATTTATAATTTTTGCACAAAAGGTGAACTTATCCTTTAAATTTGCTTTCAACCTATGCAACATTTGCTGTCCAGTATATTTACATTATGAAGGTACTTAGATTGCACCAGTCTTTGTAAAGAGACATCGCATACTGCCAAAGACACAAGAAGGCTGATAGGTCTTGTCCTGACATTTCTTTAATCAATGCACTCTAACTTTTGCATGGCTGCATTTGTAGTTCTCTTTCTATTTTTTATCTACATTTTTATAAAAAGGACATGTCTATACTCATATAATGCCAGAAGGGGAACTCCCATTATGGCTGTTTTACATCATCCTCTCTTTCTGCGCAGTGTAGATGAAAAGGAAAATAGAAATGGCAGTTGCTCTCAGGCACATCCCCTCTGGCACCTCATGTAAGACACTGCTTGTCAGAGTGTTGGAAACCTGCAGCAGCTCTGATATCTCAAACAGCTCGTGTGGTGGTGCCTGCCACAAGCAATAAACTCAGATGAGGACCACAGGAACAGCCATGTCAGTTATGATTTGTGTTTGTCATCTGCTAGTCTACAGTACAGAAGCATCATTGGATTTACCTCAAGACCTGTTCTGTTTTCTAGTTCTGCTTGGTTTACTCAAAGAAATCCATCACCACGCAGAAGCAGCATCTGCAGAGTAGGCTGAGACATTGCAGAAGCTGCTTTTACGTTTTTCTCCTAGTAGTGAGTAATCAGCAGTGAAAAAACTGATCATTTCCACTTCCTTGTTGAATATAAATGTAGATTTGGAAAAACTGAAAAAATGTACACAAAATGAAAAAGTTTTGGTTGATTGAAGCATAATTTGATCACTACTAGATCTTTATTACTATGACCACAGAGGAGAGCTCAATGAGCCCAGTTTTGCTGAGACAGCCAAGTCTCTACAGTGAGCAGGACTTCCAGAGATCTTTTCTGGAGTACAAAAATTCCTGGTAAAAAAACAGGTGAACTTTTTAGCTGTAATGCTTTTTGACCCTAAATAAGGACAGCTGGTGAAGGATGAACAATGCAAGGAGACCGCAGTGGTCCTAGTGTCCCTTTAACTGGATCTTTCCAGCCAGGGGCAGGAAAGACTGTCTGATTGCATGACTTCTGTGATTGTCACAGTGATCACATTCAGGAGCCAGTCCCCAATCATTAATAGAGACCAGGAGAGCTGCCTAAGACAGGCTGGTCACTGTGCTGAGAGTATACAGTGAACGCACGCTCAGCACAGAAACCTTTGATGCCCATAGACACATGTGCACAGTATGTGAGCATTAAAGCCCACCCGCTTAGCCGCCACACATATGGGTTATGTGGGTGGTAAGAGGTTAATGAATCAGTACATGGAAGAAGCACCCACACATTTATCCACTTACTGCCACTGCCCACCACTTCACCTGCTAACTTCTCCACCGTACCCACGCACTTTTGCATTGATCGCCATTGTACCACACAATTCTCTCTTGACTGTCAATTTAATGGCGGAATTCTCTAATGTATTGCTGCACAGTGCTGTATATTACATTCCCCACACTGCTGAATTCTGTATACTATAATATTGATTCAAAATGCTTTAATTTTTTCTCTTTGTTTTTTTGGTTTTTTTTTTAAGAATATGGAACTTTTTTATGCTGCTGAACAAAACTGACACACTTTACCTCTTTTAATAAAGTAATACATGGTGGTATAAAATATCAGGGGAGAGATCATAAGAAATTCAACATTTGTTCATGTCGCATTAACAGATATAGGGTCCACCTTTAATCTATGACAGAAGTACTGATCACTTTTTCATAAAAACCTCCAAAACACAGATACCTTGCCCCTCCGCCTCCTTTCTGTAGTTCAATGTGAACGACCCTAGTCATTCTTAACCCAGGTTTCTCTCAGGGCACCAAAATCCCAGCTGCCAATCTCTGACTTTCAATTCTACATAGTACTCACTATACAGGGAGGAGCTAAGGGCCACTGCAGTCACTATGTAGAGATGGTGGCACTAGAATATTCCCCAGAAAGCTCTAAGTACAGCTCTCATGCCAGAACATCCATTAAGAATCTGCTCACAGAGCGGAATTGTGGCTCTTTTTCAAAGTTCATTCTTTATTAAAGCAGCCCCAAAGCATACAGTGTTATCAAATAAAATTCTGGCTTCCCGTTAAGGCAGCTTGGAAGGCCATCAGTAAAGGGCGCATTATCTACTTTAATGCTCAACCGCTTGGTGAGGAGTAAAGAATGCCTTTACATGTAAGCCTGACTAGAGATGCCAGGATATCTGAATTTTGTATGCAGTAACATTAATCTGCCGCATCATTCAAATGTGTTACCTTTCTAATTAATAAGGAACCCTAGCTTAGGTTTTTTTTTTTAAGGGGACGCTATTGAAATGACTCTAAATGTTCTGTCTTAATATGCATTAAAGTGAAACTAGCATCAGATATAGTTATCAATGTTAATGTACACTACGTAATGTGTATGTTTAACAGGTTGTGTATTACTTCTCCCAGAGATCACATAACTCCCTTACAATGACTTTCTCTGCTTTTTTCTCTCCAAATTGCACTGGTGTGAACAGGGGCTTATGTGCTACAAAGTTTCAGTGTTGCAGTCTGATTACTAAAGTAAACAAAAAGGAAAAGTTTCTTCCTGCCTGCAAGAGAATGATGATATCACCTCAGCCTAGGCAGTCACTGACTAGAGCTCAAGGACGGCTTTTTCATGATAAAAGGTGGAGCTTTTTAGAAAATTGTTCTGATGCCGTTTATTGTTACAGGAATGCGCACGCACATTTGTAACATTACTGAAAGGTCAACTATGAAAATAAGAACTTCTGCAGGTTGTCTACTGTTTAGCAATATTAAATGTATTACCTCATATGCTGAGGGGTTAAAAGAATGAACTGGCGAAACCTCTGAGAATCTGCCATGGTAAGTATCATATCCATTGATATCCGCCTATTCACCATGTCCTGCAAGGCACAATAAAGAAAGATTATTAAATTGCTACCTAAACATTACACTAGCCAGGTGAATTACAAAGAGGATTTATTTTTCCCTTAAATTAAAGCTAGAAGCCAAAAAATGCAATGTTTAGCAATACACGGTACTATGTACCTTTAATTAATAGCCATAACATGGGACTCACAGAGCATTAAAGTGGTTGTAAAGGCTGCAGGTTTTTTACCTTCATGCATTCTATGCATGAAGGTAAAAAACATTCTGTGTGCAGCAGCTCCCCCAGGCCCCTCAATAATTACCTGAGCCTCATTGCGATCCAGCAATGTGAATGACAGCCTTGGCTGTCCCGGGTCTCTGCCTCCTCATTGGCTGAGACAGCAAGCAGGAGCCATTGGCTCCCGCTGCGGTCAATCACAGCCAGTCAGCCAATGAGGTGAGAGGGGGGCAGAGCCAAGTCCGCAGCTCCGTGTGTGAATGGACAAACGGACCAGTGGGTGCTTGCTGTGGGGCACCTGAGACAGGAAGAGCCTAGAGAGCCTGCGGGGGACCCGAGAAGAGGAGGATACAGGCTACTTTGTGCAAAACCACTGTACACAGCAGATAAGTATAAACATGTTTGTTGTTTAAAAAAAAAAAAAAAAAAAAGTGAACCTTTAAAATCGCTTTAAGCAAATTGTAAAGTGTAAGCACAGAAGAAGTTGATTGGAACTAGAAAACCTGCCATAAATTGGAAGTGAGGGGGAATGGAAGAGTCACCCATTTAAAGGGTTAAATTTCAGCTTGAACTATTGGGTTCTGTAAACATCCCTTTTTTCAAATCAGGAGCTAAAGAGTCCATGAAAAACATACGGAAGATCAGATAAGTCCACTTTCTGGCTGTGTAAGAGAATTCAAAATATTCATATTTTATATATTTACTTTCATGGTTACTTGAAAAAGAAAAAGTTAATACACATTATTTATGAAGGGAAGCAAAGAATTCAAAAAGGAAGTAAAACCACTACACATACTTTTCCTTTAAGTTAGGAATTCATTAAAATACCTGTCTGCAGACCTAGAGGTATTAATGTGTTACTGAAACAAGCAGGGAAAATATTCCAGAGTCTCTGGACACAACCCTGTGAGATGTGTGCAAAAAATGTCAACTCAACTGAGAATAACTTCTGCTTTCTTCTTGAAGCACAATAGAGTTTTCCACAATGAGAATGAAGTGCGGTGTTAAGCAGACCTGAAACGTCTAATAATATTTACCTCCTTCAGTCAACAAGAAAGGACTAAAGACCCAAAGTTTGCACAGCGGTACAGCCATAGCAAAATAAGAATAAAGCCAAAACTTTTTTTTTTTGCTACATCTGCAGTCACATAACTTACCTGTAATAAAGTATGTCCTCAGGGGCGGATTGACCATTTGGAAACTGGCACTGCCCGAGGGCCCGGGGTCAGTCAGTAGGGGGCCCCATGAGATGCCCCTGGTGCCTTTTTCATAAGCTTTTTTGAGTTTGGGCAAGGACACAGGGGCCCCATGACCCCCTATTGCCCGGGGGGACTCCATGAGTTGTCAGTCCGCCCCTGTATGTCCCATCTCCTGCAGATTTATGGTTCCTGTAGAAATCTCCTCTCCAGTGATGACCAGTTCTCTTCTTCACAGATCTGAACTTCTGGCGCTGCAGGAGTTCATAGCTTCTGGTCTAGCACTGAAGTATATTGACTAATGTCCTGATGGGAGCCTGTTCTTTTCTGTCCTCTCCTACACTGACAAACGTCCTTGCATTGTTTTCACAAAAATGCAAAAAGTTCTCTGAATGAGGGATGGGCAAGATCCCCTTCACAGAACGTGTTGCATTCTGTGAGAACAATGCAAGGACTTCTGTCAGTGGAGTATGGAACAAAAAGTGGCAGATGCCCTTTGGGACCTTCTTCAATGTTAGATCTGAAGCTATTTTCTCCCACAGTACCGAATGTTCAGTACTATGAAAAGGATTGGACATCAATGAAGACAGGAATTCTACAGAAACCATGAGCCAGAAGGGAAAGGAGCATACTTCAGTACATGTAAATTGTGTGACTGCAGCTGTAGTAGGAGATTTTAAAAAAAAATTTATTAAACCTTACCTTTACCTATAGACCGTAGGGACCATTACAGACAACATATTACTCCAAGGTAATGGTTTTTCCCCAATGGATAATTAGAATAACAGTCTGAACAATGCTGCAGACATGAAACAACTGCCTGGGTGTACTATTGATACAACAGATTCTCTAAGTACTGATGCACTGACCCAGAACAAGTATACAGATTAGGATCTCTGATTCCAGGTCAGTGATTCAAAACACTGAGGTTACATGATCAGCATGAAATCCAGGCAACTTGTGGCCAAAAGTTCATGAAAACCTGACCATGAATACCTACCCATCAATACATTACTCATTGTTAAACCTGGATCCATCTCTCCCCACCCAACCCACAACACACCTCAGCATTATAGCATTTTTTTTCTTTTGCTACATTACTGTAGCAAGAAACAGTTTTTTATGACATCATGAAGCTGAAACAAATACTTAAAGGAGCAACTTCTTAGAGGTTAGACACCATTGCTGTAGGCAGAGCATCTCCCCAGAACTACAGTAGGCTCTTGGGTGACAAGAGAAAATAGGTGAATATAATGGCGCCTATAGAAAAGGTATTAATGGATCACTCTCCAATCTACCAGCTGCAAATTCCACCCTATATTAATAAAGTGTATGACCAAAGAAACAGAAATAATTTGCGCTAGTAAATAAATACAAATGAATACCCCAAAAAACAATTATATAATATAAACATGAATAAATAAATGAATAAATAAAAAGTGTCCAAAAAAATGTCCAAAATAATGTGAAAAAATCAATAAAGTCCAAAGGTGAAGAAAAATGTGACAATCCACCACCATATATATACTAAATAAACTCACCAGAGCTGAATGCTGATGATAAATCAGCATAAAACGCTAATTGCTCTGGGAGCGATGGTCAGCAGGATGTTGAGCCACTAGTAGATTGATCTCCATGGGGTAATAACCTGCAGAAGTCAGCTCAAAAAAAAAACGATGTAAAGGAAGCAGTGATCTGTAATCGAATATACCACTAAGGACATCCACTTCTAGACTCCACCATATCCAAAGTTTATTAGGCCAGACACTCGGAAAAGAACAACAACAGCTTCATAGTGCAGAACCCTTTAAAACAACTTAATTTATTATGCACTCATCGCACTTAACTCAAAAGGTGTCCCAGCCGACACCAGCGTTGTAAAATACAATGGACAAACCCAGCCACTCAGCACATGCGCCGTAGACCACTGGGAAACATAATGACGTCACATCGATCAAAACCCCGCCCTACGCGTTTCGTTATCGACGTCCTCTGCAGATTATTACCCCCTGGAGATCAATCTACTAGTGGCTCAACATCCTGCTAACCATCGCTCCCAGAGCAATTAGCGTTTTATGCTGATTTATCATCAGCATTCAGCTCTGGTGAGTTTATTTAGTATATATGGTGGTGGATTGTCACATTTTTCTTCACCTTTGGACTTTATTGATTTTTTTTTATATTTATAATTGTTTTTTGGGGTATTCATTTGTATTTATTTACTAGCACAAATTATTTCTGTTTCTTGGGTGACAAGGCAGCATCTTTGTTTTGCTAGGAAATAAATCAATGTATACATGTGGAGAGCACCAGAGAAGACAGGGGACAGGCAGTCCACAGCTAACAGCTGTAAACACTGCTTGGGATTTCCGAACAGCAAAGGCACTATGTTGTCAGCCCAAACAGGAAACTGGGAACATGCTGAGTTTCTGGCAGATTAACAGGCATTTTGCTGTACTTACAGCAAACAAAAATAAACTTAAATCGATGAACATTACCATGTATACATCAAATTCATCCAGACACCGGAAAGGTGATTCAGCAATTGACCATAGAGATAGAACAAAACAAACAGTTGAGAATGATCGTTCCCCTCCAGAGAGAGACCTCATGTCAGATAATGAAGCCTTATTTCCTTCCCCAGGCTGGACCTACAAGGGAGAAAGACACTTCAGTTACTCAATATAATAACATAATACTGTACAGTCTGGGCTTACACATATGCAGCACAAGCATTCCAATAAAGGGTCAAGGGTGAGGCCTAAAACTAGAGTCATTACCCAAGATGTCATGTATGGGGGCATGAACTGTAGTGTGAACATGTACTGAAGCCTTCAATACCTTATCACTACATTATCATTTCTTATAAAAGACTTGTATTTTAAAACAACACATGACAGCACATCTAATGCATCACTGCACATAATGTCAAGCACCAGACAAGTGCCATAGTATAAACACATAAAGACACTTCATTATGCCATGTAAGACTCTGCAGCAGCATTTAACAATTATCATGCTGCATATTGATATAGGCTTCTGCTATACAAAACAGCATCACCATTAAATTGCATAAGGCCCCTTTCATGCAAGCTATTCCGGTTAGGTTTGTCTGTCAGTTTTTCAGGCAGACTTGCTTAGAAGCTTCATGCAGGTCAATTGGGAGGCGGAAAGGAAATGGATTTGTGTCTGTTTCCATTTGCCTATCTCGGAGTCTGTCCAGATGTGGTAAAAAAAAAACCTAAAGAAAGGACTGCACCTTTTTCTGTTTTTTAAGATCTAAACATGATGGTTTGAAGGTAGCCTGATGTAAACAGACCATTGTGAACAAGTCCAATTACATCCAGCCACCCAACGGCCATTGCTGTGCCAAAATGCAAACACAAAACTGAATGGGCATAGATGTAAAAAAATGGACATCCCTCCCATTCTGTTCTGATTCAGCACATGGATCCCATGGTGAATAGGAAGGAGCATCTGCATGTGAAGGGACCAATATAATGTAGAGAATCTGGCAGTGTAAGAACACAGCTAAGATCAATGCAATGGATAAGGCCTCTACTATAGAATAGATTTGTAGAGAACACCAGAGAAAGAGTGGCACAAAATTATACTCACACCAGCTAGCTATGTCTGAGGGCTAGTTCACACTAGATGCAGTTCAGTGTCCTTTTTTTTTCTGCATCAAAAATGCATACAGTGTTTTCCATGTATTCCAATGACCCTAGTTCACACTAGTGCAGTCAGTTCCAGTCAGTTTCTGGTGCAGAAACAAAAAAAAGTAGAACATGCTGCATTTTTTCTGCACAGAACCATACAGGAACATAAAAAAAACTGCATCAAAACTGCACCAAAACTGCATGTGGTGTGAACTGTAAGCAAAAACGTATCTGCAGTGTATTTTTGTGTGGTGTGAACTGGCCCTGAGGCCTGGGGAGTTAGTGCAGGGAAATACTATAAACTGAATCATTACTCAATGTACAGTACAGTATGTGATGTACAAGGCTTCTGGTGTAAATGGCAATACTATATAATATCAAGTATGTGCCTTAAGACGTAATATACTATAAATACAAGGTCAACACATAAGGCATACTACATAATGCATGAGCCTACACAATCTACATCACTACTTATGAAGCAAAGTATGCAAGTTCTGAAGCTCATGCTGCAATATCAGACAATTAGAAATGGTAAATATATACAATCATTAAACATGAATGCTACATACAAGGTCTGAGTTGCAGAATAGACATACAACTATCACGGTGGCATCCATACCCCAGAGGGCTGCCTCAGTAGATAATAGGATACATACAAACATAGATAAATTTGTTGGTGCCCTTCCACAAAAAATAGGAAGCCCACAATTTTCTCTGAAATAACTTAAACCAACTAAAGTAAGTGCCATGCATCATTGCACTGCTACCTCAGTAAATTTGAGATAACCCAACACTGCAGTCATGGAAAAGATTAAACAAGAAATTCTAACCAGTTCCACCATCCTCAGGTCCGAAGACTCTCCACCCAACACTAAACAACTGTCAGCATGGAGGGGGACTTTCACACATAAAAAGAATGCAGAGGATATGCACGAAAACATAAGATTGGGACAACTTTAATAAAGGTTTTCTGGGAGTTGTGTTTCCCATCTAGATAATGCAGTCATCTCTCCAATGTACAATCCTGGAAGATGCATAGGGAAAACTTTTTTCTGTGCCCCTCTCTAACTTAAGCCAGCCATAGACAGTTCAAATGGTCCCTGCTGTATGGCTGATATTCGAGCTATGTATCGGCAGACTGGGTGCAGCCTGTTGGATTTTACATGCGATTATTGCTAGCAGCTATTATAGATGCCAGCAGTAATTACTGTGTTCTCTCAATGGGGAGGGCTCACGTCCCCAGGAGAGCACAATAGCTCCGTGGGAGGAATTCCCCCCATCAACACAGCCAGTCACCTGTGGTTGCAGGAAAGAAAAAAAAAACGCTCCATCTATGGCCCGCTATAGTTTCACTTTGTTATCTTGGACAGACTTTCCCTGACGTTTCAGAAGACAGTGGAATGGCAATGGAATTTGGTTATCCCTGAACCCAGTCACAAGTAAAGTGTGCTAGATTTTTTACATGTTTACTAGCGTACAAGTTTGCTTTGGGCTGTAACACAACTTTCTTGGTAAATTGGGTAGACTTTTTGACTGGTGGTAGTGATTCTTGGGTAGTGAGTTAGCAGCTCACAGATTTTATTGCTTTCCAGCAGTTGCTCTTATCTGCATGTACAGTGTACTGGATTTTTTTCATCATAGTTGTGCATTTTTTAACCCAGTTAGCTGATTTTGCTTCTTTTCCATCGGCATAAACACTAAAAGTTTGATCTCTATCTGGCAATGTTCCTCTATGGTGAATGCAGTTTGTTATACACACAATAGCTCCTGGGCGAATGTGTGAAGTGAGTACAGAGCCACCTTTTTTCACAATAAACATGGCCACTTCAGTACCAATGAAACTGGGTGGATCTAGGAGTCATCAACTGCAATAGGAATCAATATTTCACTGCTGCTGTAGTTAGGCTTCTCCAATCAACTCTAGCAAGGACTAGTGTCTTGTGTTATGATTCTATATAGCATCAACCTCCAAACTCTACAAGGTATAGTGCCTGAAAAATCTGAGAACATTATAGCAGGTTAAGATAAAGAGCCTACACAGTGCAGTCTAATGGACAAAAAGGGTGCAAAAAACAAAAACAAGCATGATTTTCATTATTCACTGGGGCATACCCTAAAAGTGTCAACTTTTCAAGCATTTTTGGAGAATAATTGTTGCACGTTTTTGCTGCTTTTGTCAGGCCTTTTTCAACTAAAAGGTGTGGAGTGCTGCTGAGAAAAGGGGCAGAGAGCTGCTGTTTGAGCAGAACACACACTTGAAAAAAAGCTCATGTCATGCTTTTCAGGTGTTTCCACTGACGTCTATGGGGACAAAAATGCTCAATTCTGCCTTAAAAGTAGCTCATGTACTTATTTGAGCAACAAGCATTTTGCTGCAAGTGACAGGACGCTCAGATATGTACAAGGTATATTGAAAACAATAGGTCTTTGCTCACCCAAGTGTGAACTTGGGCACACAGTTAGTTTTTTCTTTAGTTCAGCCAGTGGCACATTGTTTTCTGACAGCAGCTCCTGTCATAATACAATGATCAGTGACTGCAGCCGCTGGTCAACAATAGTTTTCCAGTGTGTCATCTTCTTAAGAACAGGGAGGACCACACACAAAACAGAATTCAGCTAGTGAATGCTGAACCTACTGAATTTTGATCCGTCTATGCCCAGCTTAATGCTGCCACCTCACTTTCCAGTCAGCAGGCTTGTATTTTGTTCCAACATGTTTCATTAATCAGGTTATGCTGTGGCTACAGGATGATGTTGTAAAACGCTGTGTTATTAAGCAAGGATCACAAGTGTGGTTGTACAGATTTAAAAAAAATGCTGGCTTAGTTAACAGTTACTATACAGTGGGTATAGAAAATAATCACCCCCTTTTAAAATAATCACATTTTGTTGCTTTGCAACCTGAAATGAAGACAGACACCGTTTTTGTTTTATCCAGCTGTATTTACTCAGTGCAACTTATAACATCCAAGTGAAAGATATAACACCAACATGTCAGGAAAAAAAAAATCTAAAACAGAATCACTTCTAAAAATGACTTGTAAACTCTATCAGGTGTAGTTAATCACCTTCTCAATGTCACACAAAGCCATTTGACTTTCAACTGTGATAAGCTGTGGTCATTTTGATCAGCTCAGCATCAAAAGCACTTTCCTGGAGTATTTCAGTCCTTGGTAGTGCAACTGAAGCAAACAATCAACTATGGGTGGCAAGGCACTGTCAAACAATCTACAAGATAAAGCTGTGGACAGGCACAAGTCAGGAAATGGATATAAAACATTTCAAAGGCTTTATCAATGCCTAGAAGCACAGTGAAGTCTATTAAGAAGTGGAAGGTATTTGGTACAATACAGACCCTCCCTAGATGAGGACGTCGCTCCAAACTGGATGAAAGAGCCTAGATGACACAGGTCAGAGGCTACCAAGAGGCCTACAGCAACTCTGAAGCAGTTGCAGGGATTTATGACAAAGTGATCATTGTGTGCATGTGACAAGAATATCACAAATTTTCCACAAATGTGGCTTGTATGGGAGGGTTGAAAGAAAAAAGCCACTCCTCGAGAAAGGCCACATGCAGTCACAACTGAGCTTTGCCAAAATGCATCTTGAAGATTCTGAGGCCACATGGAAAAAGGTGTTATGGTCAGATGAGACTAAAATGTAATTATTTGGCCTCAACACCAAACAATATGTCTGGAGGAAATCCAATGCAGCCCGCCATCCAAATAACACCATTCCTACATTAAAGCATGTTGGTGATGATATCCTGTTATGGGGGTGTTTCTCTGCAGCAGTGACTGGAGAACTTGTCAGGATAGAAGGAAAAATGGAAGGGGCAAAATATTGTCAAATATTTGAGAAAATCTGCTGCCCTCTGCCAGAAAGTTGTCAATGGGAAGAAGGTTTACATTCCAACAAGACAATGATCGAAAGCACACAGCAACAAAGACCACACAGTGGTTGAAGGAGAAAAAGGTGAATGTCCTTGCATGGCCTAGACAGAGCCCAGACTTAAACCCCATTGAAAATCTATAGAATAAGTTGAAAACAACAAATTTAACTGAACTTGAGCAGTTTGGCAAAGAAGAGTGGGCAAATATTGTGATGTCTACATGTGCAAAGTTAGTAGACATATATCCTAACAGACTAAAGGCTGGAGTGAAAGCAAAAGGTGGTTCAACAAAATACTGACAAAAGGGGGTGATCCTGTTTCCACCTCAAGGATTCTGTTTTTGAATTTTTTTATTTCTGACGCATTGGTGTTATATATTTCACTTGGATGTTACAAGTTGCACTGAGTAAATGCAGCTGGATAAAACAAAAACTGTGTGTGTCTTAACTTCAGGCTGCAAAGCAACAAAATGTGATTATTTTAAAGAGGGGTGATTATTTTCTATACCCACTGTACATGTATTTCAAATGCAAATATGTGTATTTTTCTGAAGCTTGGCTTTAAAAGAGAAGTATGGCCAAAGCTTTTTGGTCATACTTCTCTCATGGGTCATAAGAATGCACTTGCTTCTGCTCTCCTATGATCCAGAATCAGCTGACAGTGGGCTAACGCCCGCTGTCGGCTGATGTCACAAAGCCACTGCAGGATCTGGAAGGATCCCAACTATAATGTCGGGATGCACCCCGATGCCTGATCAGCAGCTAGTTCAGACTCTCAGCTCACCACTGAGAGCCCGAGCCAACCACTCCCATGCTCTCTCCTCCCTGGCCCTCAAGTGAGCTCTTTTGCTCAGAGTAGACCAAGAACTGAGCAATCAGCAGTCATGTGAATCGGTGGAGGATAGCTGCAGCATCACACCAATGCTGCAGCATGGAAGCGAGTATGTGTGGTTTTTTTTTTTTATAGCCCCAAACTTCTTTAAAACTAACACTACTTAACAGTCATCTCTATTTTAAATGAAAAAAAATAGGAAACTGAATTGTAAAGGTATGCACAGGTGTTATAATATAATTTAGTTCCCAATGATCATAATACAGATTCTATGTTACCCTGTAATTGGACACACTTCAATGATAAACAAGTCATAGCACCAGTATTGCCCATTTCAGAATCTGTGAGGACCCCTAGTGGGGAGTCATATACTAAATAGCAGTTGTGACTTGTTAATAGACATGTAAGACTTATGCTCTGTTCACACCAATGCGTTTTTAGGTGCTTTTGGCAGAAACGCACTATAGTCGATTTAACATGGTTTCCTATGGAACATGTTCTCATCTGTGCTTTTTTGATCTGCTGCATTTTTAGAAAGGGTCAGTAACTTTTTTAAAAGCACAAAGCAGAGTTTTTTCTACAATAGAGTTCAATGGAGAAGCTGCTGAAAGCATGGTAGCGTGTTTTTGCTGCGTTTTGTATTTTTAATACTGCTCAGCAACAAAATAAAATCCACTTTAACAAAAAAAAAAAAGCTGAACAAAATGCAAAACATGGTACAAATGTGTAAGAAAACATGTTTAGAAAAACAAACTGCAAAAAGCACTGGAGAAAGCATCAAATGCAGAATGCATACATGTGAACCAAGCCTTAGATAGTGTAGGGCTAGGTTCATGCTGCAGCTGTCTCGAAAAAGCAATCCGTGCTGGATAGCTTTTCAAACGGAGGCTAAAGGATTGGTTTTCAGAAGGAGATCCTACCGACTCCTGAATACCTGTTTTTTGCCTATTTTTCTTTGTGTAATGGCAACTTAAATTGGAACCAATGCGCCGCAACCACTAGCCAAGCATTTGGCTTGCAGTTGCGGCAGTCCCATTAAATTGGATGGATGAGTTTGACAGGTGGTGCTAGCTGCCGACTCAAAATGCTCAGTTAAATTTGCAGTGATATAAAGCATTGCAGCATGTGTACAGCCCATTCCAGCTGTCTGTTTCAGGTGAGAAGTAAAACTGTGACCACTTTTTTTTTTTTTTACTGCCCATGGAAAGAGGCCTTAAAATTGGAAGTTTCCAATCTTTTTTTACAGTTGTTTTTACTCTTCAATTTATAAAAATACTGTTTTCAGTTTGCCATTTTGACCCTTAGTCTGCCACATTGTTCAAGAATTAAAAAGAGAAAAAAAAAAAAAGTATGCATTCAATTGATTGAATGTAAAGTGGCATACATAAGGACAAGCACAGGCCTCTTCCATCTCTCCCGCAGTCACTGACCATTGTATTCTGCTTCAGTTTCACTCTCACTTGCATTATTTTTTTTTCCTGGTATTTTCTTCAAATTCCATTAAATCAACCAGTTTGAGTAATTGTTTGCTTTAAAAAAAATAAAAATAAAATAACTGCGGTTTTTACTGCTCTATACATTTACCTGTCAAACAGCTGGGCACACATCCAGAGAAAACAAGCCAGAAACTATTTGTGAAGCTGCTCTATGTGATAAGTTCTTTATAAATAATGTCACAAATACTGTTTGAAAATTAAGAGGCTATAACATAAAAATGGTTGGAAAATGTCATCTTAAAAGTGGAACTTCACCTGAAATGGGAAGTTCTGCTTATCCTCCTCCCCGTTCACTCCTCTCACTATTGGGAATTTTTTTTTGTTCTGGGAGCAGGTACCTATTCTGGCAGGTAACCACTCCCACTTCTGCTTGGCTTGCCTAGGCAATCTGAGTGGCTATTTGTCCTCCCTGCTCCCCGTCAAAAACTTCCTGGAGCATGTCACAGGTCCCAGGAAACTGGAGAACCATTGAGAAGTGCACAACGTCTCAATAATGTGCAGTGGGATATTGGCTATGGAACACCAGGAAGTCACAGCCGACCTCCCACAAGCAAAATGGCGGTGCTAAAGACCAGTTAAGAACAGGCTTGGGTGATGACAGCACTGGATCCCTGGTCTGGCAAGTTTATTTTTATTAAACTTCAGCAGCTACAGTATTTGAAGCTGCTCACTTTTACTTTTTTAACTGCCCGGAGCTACTCTTTAAGGAGTGTGCTATGAGAGAATATCCTGGACTCTGGTTACTTGAATCAATGAGGATGATTTACTAAAGAAGTTGTGAATCTTCACTCAAATTATAGCTGTGTTCACATTAAAATACCCAATAATGTGCAGACGTGGGGGGGGGGGGGGGGACTTTTTTTTTTTTTTTTTTTTACATAATTGGATAACTCTCTGTTCATGTTACAGTGCCAACCACAACTACTATGTTCATAGTGTTATGAAATAAGAATCACTGTCTACAAGCGAATATATTGTAGGACAAATATAGCCACCGCATGATGCACTTACGGTAATAGAGAGTGTCTCATTCTTGTGGTCAAATGAGATCTTCCCGGAGTAGGCTCGCTGGGAGAGTAAGGAGTCAAAGTAAAACTTGCATCGCAAACTGAGATACCTGTACAAGACAAGAGTGAGGAAAAAATAAAACTATTATATTAGAATTAAGGCATGTTTACCTTGGTATACAAACTTAAACATTCTGCTTGCTCTTTTTCTCTCCAGCTCAAGCCACTGATCCATTTACCCCCCCCCAACACTCATTTGCAACCCACTGTTTTCCATGTGTGGAAAAATTAGGTGACAATCAACCAGAGGTTACACAGCAATTCCAGGAAATAAATGAATACAATCAGTGATCGACTAATGAATTGTGTGATCAGGAAGGTTAGTTTACCTTAAAGGATAAGTTCACCTTTCAGAACATCTTACACCCATATTCAGGGTGTAACATGTAACTGAGGACTGGCCCCCGCACGCCTCCCAATGTGACAGCTAGCGGGGCATCTTCCTCACCCGGCCATGTCATACATTCACAGAGTTCTGTGTATGGGAAACTAGAAGTCTCGACAGCCTTTGTGGCTGTAGACTTGTTTTCAATGCACTACCACACGCTGTTGAGCGATGTGGTAGTTCATTGATTCTTCCAGTCAGTGTAAAACTGCTCGTTCAAGCAGACAGTATGCAGGAGACCTGCTTTGCAGGCTCCTAAAACAAAAAAGAGCAAATGCACATTTTTTACCTGCAGAAAAAAAAAAAAAGTGCATTTATTATTTTTTGTAGAACTTTCAAACAACAGGTGAAAGCAATCAATGAGCCAATACTGCTATAAAGAAAATACTGTGCTACAAAGTTCTTTAAACTTACTGTAATCTAAGTTCTCTTTAATAAACAGAAGCCAGAATCTCACACATCATTTAACAGGATCAAGAACGTAGTAGGATTTTATTCCTCTCTCTCTGCCTATTATATCACCAAAACTCAAGCTTTATGATGCATGCAGAGAACACAGCCTAACTCCTCAGTGTTTATATTTACCACCCATAGATTGTTCTAGTGCAGTCTTTTTCAACTAGGGTGGCATGGCACCCTGGGGAGCTTTCTGGATTCTGTGGGGGTGCCTTGGGAAAAGGCCAAAAAATTGCCCAACATTTTACAAAAATGTTTGTGGGAAAGTGTACAGGGTCTTACATAAAGAAACTGCATTCCTCAAGAGTGGCAACAATCCAGACAAGGCCATACCTATCAAGAGGCAACATGAATTTCTTGTGCTGCATTATGTCAGCCTTTTTTCAACCAGGGTGTCGCAGCATCCTGGGTTGCAATTTGGTTTTTTTTTTATTGTGTAGCATTACACCGCGTGGACCAGCTACCAGCGTCCTAAAAACCAAAAGGTGTCAAAAATTATTAAGGTGGACGTCAGGTGCCCGAGGACGTCCTTGTTTGTGCTTCCTCTGTTCCTCTCTGTCAGCACTGGGGTAACAGAGTGAGGGAGAGAAAATGAGAGAGAAGAGAAATGCTGGAATACTAGTCAGTACCAGTGTGCAAAGGTGTATTTGCTTTGTAAGAATAAATCAGCTCTGATGTTGGGTGTCCTATGTATCTGGATGCTGCAGAAATATGTAAAATAATTAGTTTAGTTTTTTACATTTTAGAAAAAGGTGCTTGAGATTGTGCAGAATATTAAAGGGTGCCTTAACTGAAAAAAGTTGAGAAACACTGCTCTAGTGCACCAGCCCACCATGCATCATTGTGTCGGTAATCTGGTGGCCCTGGAGCGCACCTGGTTGTTTGAGATGCTGGAACATGCTGGAACATGCCGCCTCTCACATGCAAAAGTCTGTTGTAAACAAGCTTTTCCTACTTGCTCAAGCAAATATTGACCTACATTTCCTTTTTTTCTCCCCACAATCTTGTTTGACATGCTTATAGGACCAGAGAGAAAATGATGATTCAATCAGTAGGATAAGTAATCAGCTGACATGCTTAAAAGAAACCTGTCACTAGAGAAACATGAAGGCTGCCATCACAGACCTTTCCTTCAGAAACTGCTGGTCGAGTGTCTGTCATGCTAACAGCCTTTCAATACTTTGAGTCAGTGACCAAGAACAAGCATGTAGATCAGGACTTCTATATTCGCTCACTTTTCTGACCTGCATATTTGTCTATGGTTAGTAACTCAACGTACGGTGGAATAGTGCCCCATCAATGGTGTTAATGGAAAGAATAGTGCCCCATCATTAGTGTCAGTGGGACGAATAGTGCCCCATTATTGGTGTTGGGGAGGAATAGTGCCCCATCATTGGTGTTAGGGGATGAATGCCCCATCATTGTGCCCCATCATTGGTATCAGAGGAAGGAATAGTGCCCCATGATTGGTATCAGAGGAAGGAATAGTGCCCCATGATTGGTATCAGAGGAAGGAATAGTGCCCCATGATTGGTATCAGAGGAAGGATAGTGCCCCATGAATTGGTATCAGAGGAAGGAATAGTGCCCCATGATTGGTATCAGAGGAAGGAAATAGTGCCCCATGATTGGTATCAGAGGAAGGAATAGTGCCCCATGATTGGTATCAGAGGAAGGAATAGTGCCCCATTCATTGGTATCAGAGGAAGGAATAGTGCCCCATCATTGGTATCAGAGGAAGGAATAGATCATATCAGAGGAAGGAATAGTGCCCCATCCTTGGTATTAGATGGAGGGGTTAGTTGTAGGAATAGTACCTTATTGTTTATATCAGTGGGAGGAATTGTGCCCCATTATCGGTGTCAGTGAAAGGAAAAATGCCCCATAGTTGGTGCCAGTGAAATAAATGGTACCTCCTTGTTGGGTGTCAGTGGGAGGAATAGTGACCTGAGGGTCAGATAGAGACAAGCAAAGGGCCGCAGTTTGGAGACCACTGGTTTAGAGTAATGCTATCTTCTGTAAATTCATAATCCAAACCTCTCCAGAGTATGCATCATGTGAGAAACATTGGTCTCCAATAGCAAAGCAGACTGCTCCCTCAAAAGTAAGTCAATAACCGGAATACCCAGGGTATGCAAGAGCCCCAGTACTGGCGGCTAGGACGTTGAACACTCTGGGAGCGGTTGACAGGCTGAACATCAGGGCCACAAATGTAAAGTGGCAGTCCATGCGAACTATATAAACTGTTGTTGATATGGTGTCCTCCGATGCTAGGAAATCTCTCCCATGGAGAGGCTACCCACTGATTCAATGTGGAACTTATGCACCCTGAAAAACTTGAGTCTCTTGAGATCCAGAATGGGGCAAACTTCAGGTTTTGGAACTGTGAAAAGGTTTGAATAAAAACCGTAAAATATTTACCTCCTGAAACGAGAATGATCACTCCTTAAGAATATGGTTGCGAGCTTGCAAAACAGCAATTATTTCTGTATATTCAGATACATTTTACAAGCATGAAACGCAGAGGAGAAAGCTTTCTGAAATACCAGTTTGTAACACTGAGCCACAATGTTACAGACCCACTCATTTGCAATCTTCCAAACCTCTGCAAAGGCCTGCAAACACCCCCCACCCGAGCAAATTGGAGCATCCCTCCAGTGTGAAGAGGACTCCCAGGCTTAGAGGGCTTTGGAATCCATATCTTCTTGTGGAACTGGTGCTGGGGATTAGGCTTAGAGACAGAGGCCTAAGAATGGTGAAAGCAGTGGTTTTTAGAAGTAAAAGAAGTGGTAGGTTTTTGAACTATGGGCTTAGCCTTCTTTTTATGCAGTAACAGAATAGTCTTACCCATAGTCACCTTCTGGATGTAAAAATGTAAAGCAGGAGAAAGCAAACCCTTGAAAGAGTAAACCTTCCACATGCTTCTTGCAGGGTAATTATTCTGACCAAAGGATAATAAGGTATACTCAGTGAGCGCTCAATAATATAGCAGCTAAAGACATGAAAAGGTAACCACAATAAAATCTCTCAAAATGCATAGAAAGAAAGGGCAGCGCTAAATAAATTAAAATCCATACTGATAAAACATATTCAAATCATAGTCCAAAATCAAGCTAAAATGTAAATATCATAAAATGATAAGATCATAATACATTAAAATATATTAAAATGGTGACCAAGGCGGTGCAAGCCAGCAAACATCCAGGAAATCTGATGCTACAAACCAGCGATAGAAGATGAGAATTGCGTCCTTTTACACAAAGGAACTGGAGGAAGATAACCTGGAAATAGTGGAAATACCAGATAAGTGGAGAGGGTCAAAGCCGCAAGGAACACACTGACTCAAAGGGGATACATTGCACAGGGGGCTGTGATCAGTCTTCTACCTACCTGAAGAAAGTATATGGGACACCTCACCCCCTACATCCACTCTCTGCTGTCTATGAGACATGGACTCCTGGCAATTATTTTGAGTTCCTACTGGGAACAGCAGTCCAAGCCAGCTGGGATGGCACTATGCCAATAAGTACCAGCGCACTGTTACCCCAGGAGATTCAAACCCTACTAATTTTGCCAGTGCCCACAGCCCTCACAAGGAAAAGTTGTGTGGGCTCTTTAATACTTGCTGTGTCCTGTAGTACCACAGGGCAATAGCACTGTTGCGACCTGCAATCCCCCTAATGGAAAGTGGGCTGCTGCGACGAGTAGTCACAAGAATCTTCACCGCCGTTGTACGGTGAATGCAGCGGGTGGAGAAGAGCAATTGGTGCCCGAGCCTCCCAAGCCACCCAGAAGCCCGACAGCCCAGAAAGCCATAAATTTCAAAAGCATACACAGGACAATAAAATAAAGTTATGGGGGCCACAAAAATTGTTCAGAGAAGGAACCGGCAGTGATTACTTCGAGGCACTGACCATTTCATGCCACAGGACCCACTTGGGGATCCATTCTTCAATCATCATGGCGGGCAATGCCACAGAATCCTTTTAGGGACTCAACTACCCAGCTGGGGATCACGGACCTGCACTTGTATAGTCGCTACTGGCCTGTAAGGCAATACACCATTATGAAGGGTCCCGTTCCGCAGGTGCCAACATAGACCTGCAACATTACAAGCCATCCCCGTGTGCCCAGTGTGGGGCCTGGGTAACATTCCTCTGAGCATAGAAAATCTGTAGGAGATAGATCCAAAAAAGGCCAGTCTCCTGAA